CAGTTAAAAACCAATATTTTAGACTTCTATCCAATCCTAGAGTTTCAAAATTTGGTACGTTCACAACATTCAATTATCAGTTAGAACCAGTTTTCCAACCAATTTTATACATAGTTGTTCCATTCTGGAAAACCTAAAACTGATTCTAAAGATGATTATTTAATTAAGAGCCTCAAAGAGAAGCTAGTATAAGAACGAGTCAGAATTTATGTTACCGGAATTTTGAGATTCACTGCTATGATAACAAGATTGTGACCCAAATGTACTTCGAACATTTAGGGTTACTCTAAGACAAAACATTGGATTATGTTATGAGATTGATAAAAGATTCCCAAAAAGATAAGCAAAGCCCAAACTAGGTGAGGAGAGGAGGGAAGAAAAAGATAAAAGAAAGCGGAAAGGTAGAAGTTGCTTATTGTCACTAATGGAGTTCTTAAAATTCTCCAACAAGCTACTCAGGGTTTGCTCTAGCAAAGAAACCCTACTATTAAAAACTCTAAAAATTCCCAAAAGTGGCCATACAACTCTCTTTTCTATTTAAAATTTTGATCACTCGCCATGGTAAACAGGTCACCATGCCATGACAAACGTACTTAAAAGGAATGCCCTATTTTATGTTGTTTACCATAACAAATGGAATCCCTTACTGCGGTAACCTTGAAAAGGTGGCCATATTACAAGAGAGATGGAGAACCTTTTAGAGAGATGGAGCTCTTCTTTCTTTAATCACTAACTAGTGTGCCTCGTTGCTAAGGAACTCACATTAATTCTAAATTAACAAAGTATAACAGCACAACATCAGCCACATTATCTATGCAAAGTCAATTTAACTTTGATTCAAAATTTAATTAAGTATGAAAGATACAACTGAAGAAAATAGATGAACTAAAAGGAAATATTTTGTTTAAAACTTTTATTTTATAAAGAACAAAAATAAAGAAAGAAACAGATATGATAGTGAATCTTCCTAAAAACATATCAATGGCTACGCCAATTCAAACAAATTTGAAGTTATATAAACCCTAACAACTTGCTAGGTCTAGTTATCTTGATCAGTGATTTTTTTCTACAACTCTAGCAAATAAACATCTTTCAAGGAACTATTAAAAATCCACATAGCATGTAATTCAAGATTGATCTATAATTTGTTCCTTTTTTTCAAGATAACTCAACTAGAAATTTAAGATATTAAATATTCATATAATCTAAACATAACAAATGCAGGAAAACATGCAATCCATATACCAATATAGGACATGCAAAAATATAATACTTCAAATTATAAATAAAAAATGAAATAAAAAAGATTTTAATCATAATAATGTTCAAGTGAAATTCAAAGCCTCAAAATATATAAATTCAATCATAAATTCTAGAAAATCATTAAATACATATAAGAGAAAGAGAAAAGATTAAACAAATAACAACTCCATTTGAAGAACAGGAACTCATGCAACATAATCTATACTCAAGAGCTGAGGACTAGCCTACATGGTGATGAAAGAAAAGAGAAGAAGAAGAGAGAAGAGGATGGCATATGGCATGCTTTGAATGGTGGTTGGCTCCTCCATTTTATAGAAATTAATGGCATCTTTCTTTAGATAACTAGAATGACGAAGATAATCAAAATAATATAATTTGAATTATTGATCTTTGATCTTGATGAACGTTTATCTTCATCTTTCTTGCATTTTCTTTCTTTTTTTGAATATCTTCGTATTTTGCTTCTTCGTCAATAGCTTAATCTTGGAGAGATAATGATTTGAATTTGAATAATCATAAGAGATGATGATATGAATATGATTTTTAGATACGAAAGAGATCTTTCTTTAAGTTTAACTAGACATTATATTTAATTAAAGAAGAGATATTGGAGGATATTGAATCTTTTTCTTAATTAAATATAATGGCTACACAAATTAATGTAATTAAAAGATCATTGATCTTGAAAATTCCTAACATGCCCTTCATTAATCTATGTGGCACCTTGCTTGACTTCTTGAGGAAGTAGACTTGAAATTACTGATCCACCCTTCTTTAATGCACTTTTTTTAAATTATAAGGCCACAAAAGACTCACGATTTGGGCTTAAGTGATGGTCTTGAGGTCCAATTGAAGAGTATATGTGATAGGTAGATATAAATAGGCTTGCACCATGCTATACCAACTGTAGTCTTAAGGCCCTGAAGTTCATGGGTTCTTCAACATTTGTGGTTTTTTATCCTTGCTTTGGGTTTTATCATCAATGGTTAGCAATATTAAGCCTTTTGTTAATGTCTTCAGCCTTAGACTTGGGAACTTCTCTCGAATATCTTGAAATCAAAGCAAAATAACACCTTTTATTGGTATAGGTAAGTCCATTAAAGAGAAATTATAAAAACAATAAACAAATAAGCTCACAATTGCCTTTTATTGTATTTTTCACATATTTTCTGCAATTTTACCCAATTTTCATCACAAAACCCCCTAAAATATATATAAAATTATATAATAAAATATGGATAATTCAGTAGTGGAGGAAGACTGAGTAAAAACGGTGAAGGTGCTAGGTCTGGATAAAAGACCAAACAAGAGTGAATGGAACTCTCTGAGTGGCCAGAACTGGAAGATAAACGGACGGACCGGAGAAGGGGGGAAAAACAGAGATAAGGCAGTGTCGCACCAAACTAAGAAAGTGAGGTTGAGAATGTTATGGATGACGAAGACGAAGGGAAAGGCGACAAGAAAGCGAAGGATTACAAAAGAGAAGGCAGAAAAGATTCAAGCGAAAAGTCTGAGAAAAGCTCGAGGTGAAGCACCTACGCTTGGGGGAGAGAGAGAAAACGATACTAATTACTTGATGTTACATGAACCATCCATGAGTTTTTTTTTTTTTTTTAACAAAAGCAATGCATTCATAAAAGAATCCAAAGGAACAATCCAAGAAAGAGAGCAGGCAGAAAATTATCCTACACCTACAACACGGCTACTAACACTGCCATTAGCCATATAACCATCGCTACTAAAATCAAATACATAAGCCTGCTGTTCTAAAACATTAGGAGCATCCTTCTCTAAAATGTAAATTCAATATTTGTTATTTTCAATTCTTAACTTATCAATTAACTAACTAAAATAATGAAGGGAAAAAAATTATGGAACTTATTATTTCCAATTAAATATGTGCCATTGCTAGTTCAACACTGGTCATTTATAATCCTATTTATGTCATTTATGTCACAAAAAGGCATACAAGTAATTTCACAATATTTTCAAAATGCCATTTTAGGTCTCACTTTCTTCCTTGTCATTTTCAAGTTTGAGCTGCATGAAATGAAATTTCATATATTCACACTTTTTTTTAGGAATTTTCCCTTATTAAAATTGGTTGTCAATTAACTATAAAGACATTGTTAATTTTGGTAGGAAAGTTCTCAATTAAGTTGTTCATCTTCACAGCAACTGTCAAGTAAACTTGTGGAGAATAATTTTCCATTTATTATACTTGAGCACAGTTGTGACTTTAATTGACGTAAAAATTAGATTTTTTTCACACGAGTTGCACATGAAAATTGACGTAGAAAGTGAAAGATTTTTTTTTTTAATTTTTAACCTTTTCACCATTAGCTAAATGCTATTGACGTAAAAAAACTTTTTCCATATCTGGTCTAGAACTGATATTGAAAAAAATAGTGAATTATAGATTTTTTACATCCACCTATTTACACCAGTTACACGGTGTGGAAAGCCTTTTTTCCCCGAACAAAAAGACTTTTTTTAGCTGTTATAAACGAACATTTTATTTTTACGCTAACAACAAAAATTATGTGAGAGGATTAACTTTTTAAAAATAATTTTACAATATAGGAAATAAATACATAAGAAGAGTTTTATTAAGTATTTTTGAAAAGCTGAAACAAACACTACTTAAGGAGGGAAAAAATAAAGAAAATAAAATAAAGTACTAAGAGCCTATTCGGTACCGAAAACTTCCAGAGGAAAAAGGGAAATCACTCCGTTGTCAGTTCTTTTCTGTGTTTTTATTTTTTAATACTTGCCATGATTTTAACCTTTTTTCCTCTTTTGCTACGTTATTCTTTCCACTGCCTTGCCATCCACCTGATACCCCCGTCAATATATATAGATCATACTCTCATCTTTAGATTGTTTTTGCTTCTTCGTTCTTCCTTCTACTTCGCTTTCGTTCCCTTACTCTAAAATGCACACAAGTCCTCTCTTCTATCCAAATTTTATATTCAAAACGCGCATCAAATGGGACACTTCCCCCACTAATTTCTATCTATTATATTTTTCTCCATTTTCCCCGTATTTTCTTTCCCTTGGAAGTCAGGAAGATATCTATTAGCAAATTACACCTGTTTTTATATCAAGATAGTAACCTGCAGGTTTTTTTATTCAATCAACGGAACTTACCAATTCTACTTAATAAAATATGAGCTTAGTCCATTGACAAAGAACATATTATATGCGTTTAGCCAACAATTTGAGTGCTGCAAAATTTGTTTATAAAGTGCGCCATCAAGAAAAAAGACGTCTTTTACAATTTGTTTGTCAAAAGGAGGGTTTTGCTGAGAAGTTGGAAGTCATTTACAATTATAACGAAAAATTTAGATTTTCTTGATCAAGACAATACGTACTACATGGTTTGACAAACTAATAACATTGCCTTGGTAGACTTGATGATGACGCATATCAGTAGACGGCATATAACAATCAAAGCAACTATTTGCATTATATTACATCAAACTTCCTGACTCTAAGCAATATTAAATCATTAATGCATTTTCAAGTAGAGAGAAAGCAAACACGGAAAGAAAAAGTCAGATAACTTTTTCATCAAGAAAATAGCAGTCATCAAAAGATAAGAGACAAACTATGAGCCGGTTGAAAAACTCATGCTCCTTGCACCCATTTGAAAGGCATAAGCCCATGAAGGTGAATTATGAAAAGCGAAGAGACAGACGGACAAAATCCTCACTTTCTAAAAAAGTACTAATCCTATGGGGGTCAGAGTTTATACAGAAGTTTTAGGTGTTTTCCTCCTATGTGCATGCTATTATTCATTTTTAGCCTCTGGCTTAGACACTCTAACAGCATCTAAGCGAATGAAGGATCCAGATATTCTGACCTCTAATAGCACCAATTTCACACTGGGATTCTTCAGTCCTGAGAATTCATCCAATCGTTACCTAGGAATTTGGTACATGTTAAAAACCACAGTGATATGGGTGGCTAATAGAAAAGAACCCCTCACAGATCCTCCAGGGATGCTCAAGATATCTGAGAGTGGCAATCTTGTGATACTAGATGGAAAGGAACATGTAGTTTGGTCATCAGATGGATCGGATAATGACACATCCCACGTCATTTTGCAGCTACAGGATTCTGGAAATCTTGTGCTGAAGAACAATATCACTGGAAAAGTGATATGGCAAAGCTTCCACCATCTTTCTGACACACTGCTGTTTCCTACTAGTGGTGGGTATAATGCACAAGCAGGTCAGAAATTCATGTTGACATCATGGAAAAGCCCTTCTGATCCCTCCATAGGAAGCTTTACAGCTTCTATGGGACCTAGTACAGTTCCTCAAACGTTTATTTGGAACAACACTCACCCATATTGGCGGGGAGGTCCATGGGATGGTCGAATCTTCGCTGGCATACCCAATTTGGAGGATCAGTATCTCAATTATGGATTCACATCGGAAAAAGCAAATGGTACTTTCTATTTATACTTTGTATATATAAAACTTTTACCTTTATCATTCTATAAGTTGAACTTTGAAGGGAAACTGGTATTTCATAACTGGGATGACAATAAAAAAGAGTGGGTACCCCAATGGACAGTGCAGCAATCAGACTGTGACATTTATGGCATTTGTGGATCGTTTGGAAGCTGTAATCCACAAAGAAAGCCAATTTGTAGCTGTTTACGTGGTTTCATTCCAAAAAATGGTGAAGAATGGAATAAAGGAAAGCGGACTAGTGGATGCGTAAGGAGGAAGCCATTGAAGTGTGACAGAGCCAAAAATGAAACCAGAAATGGACATGATGATGATGGGTTTGTGCTATTGGAGAATACCAAAGTTCCAGACCTACTAAATGGGACTTTCACTGTATCAGCATTACCAAATTGCAGAGTCCAGTGCTTGAACAATTGTTCCTGCTTAGCATATGCCTATGATGCGGGCATTGGTTGTATGATGTGGAGTGAAAATCTGATTGACATACAAAGGTTCTCAAGTGATGGTCTCAGCCTGTACATTCGTCTGGCAGATTCGGAATTGAGTAACTCATCAATTTCTTAAGCCTACTTGAAATCTAATCCCCCAACTTATCTGCAAAAATGAGACTAAAGATTTTTGTTTTCATGTGATGCAGAGGAAAAGAGTAGATTAGCAGTGATAATTTCAATCCCAGTGACAGCAGGAACAATTCTAATTGCAGCCTGTGCATATGTGATATGGAGATGTCGCCAAACAAAATGTATTGAACTCGAGAAGGCAGAAAAACAAATGATTTGATCAGAGTAATTTAAGCTAAAATGTTGCAGCTCAGTTGAAACAAAGTGTCTCTGTCCATACATCTTATGGCTTAAGAGAAGATTAATTCTCATTTGCTCAAACCAGTGACATTGGGCAAGGCCCTCAATATGGGATTGGCTTCTTGTCAATTTAAATTTCACTTAAGGTTAATTCTCGGTTGTATTCTATAAGTTATGCTATGAATGTGGTCTTTCACTTTCAACTATTGATCTGAAGTAATTTTCAGTTCTAAAAAAAAAAGACTATACAATAATATGTTATCAAAATGCAACTTAAAGATTCATTTAAAAAAAATAAGGCAATGTTCATATTCAAGGTTAATTCACTTTCAGTTTAATTGATTTTGCATGATATTTTGTATTAGTTACCGTATTCTCTTTTTCATATTGCCATTATATTACACCTTAAAGGTCTCCTGCATTTTAATGGGCTTGGGGGCATAAACAGTGAAGCCACAAAACAAGTCATGCAATGGATATAGATTTTCTCTCTCTCTCTCTCTCTCGCTCTATCTGCTATATAACCAAAAAGAATGTAACTACTTGTTTCCCCCATTCTGATTGTAAATGATTATTATTACCACAAACAGAAGAACCACTGACTATGGCAGAGAACGAAATTTCTAGTGAGATGCTGAAGGAACTACAACTGTTTTGAATTTGAAAAGCTTGCAGCTGCAACCAACAACTTTCATTCTGCTAATAAGATTGGGCAGGGTGGTTTTGGTCCAGTATACAAAGTATGCCTAGCCTAATAGTGCTCATCTCTATACGAACTTACAAAGGTTATAAAAATGCTTTGCAAATATGCTTGTAGGGAAAACTGCAAGATGGACAAGAAGTTGTTGCAGTTAAAAGGCTTTCAAGTGTAACAGGACAAGGACGTGAAGAATTCATGACTGAGGTGGTGGTAATTTCTAAACTTCAGCATCGCAATCTCGTAAGACTTCTTGGTTGCTGTGTAGAAGGAGGTGAAAAGATGTTAATTTATGAATACATGACAAATAAAAGTTTGGCTGCATATCTCTTCGGTTAGTACATTTTGCTCATAAGTGCCCTAACTACATTTTTATGAAAAAGAGATCTTCGTTAAAAATATGCACTTAAATTAAGGAAACAAGAGGAAATACTTGCTTCATCATTGTAGATTCTAGTTTCCTCAACTTTAGTTTTTGGTGATTCAATAAGTTTTTCCTTCCACTTGGGATTTATGGCAGATCCATCCAAATGTGATGTCCTTGATTGGCAGAAGCGTTATTGCATAATAGAAGGAACTGCTCGAGGTTTGCTCTATCTTCATAGAGATTCAAGATTAAGAATAATACATAGAGATCTCAAGGCAAGCAACATCTTATTGGATGAAAGCTAAATCCTAAAATATCAGATTTTGGCACAGCAAGAATCTTTGGAGTTAACAAAGATGAGGACTATACAAGAAGAGTGGTTGGAACATAGTAAGTTAACATCCCAGTTGTAGTTAGTATAGAACTCCAAATATTGTCCTAATGCTAATTGCTTCAATCTTAAAACTTAACACAAATGCAGTGGTGGCTATATACCTCCAGAATATGCAATAGAAGGCATTTTTTCTGAGAAATCAGATGTCTTTAGCTTTGGAGTTTTACTACTGGAGACAGTAAGCGGGAGGAAAAATACAAGCTTCTACCGTGATCAACAAGCTTTGAGCCTCTTAGGTTGTAAGCACTATTCCCAAAAGTTAAGTTTTCAAACATTAGAGTTGGCACCTAAAGTTCGTGGTTACTTTTGTTTTCAGGCGTGGAAACTATGGAATGAAGAGAATATCATACCTTTGATAGATCATACAATATATAACCCACAGTTTGAAAAGGATATGATAAAATGCATACATATCGGATTACTGTGCGTGCAAGAACTTGCGAAAGATCGCCCTACCATGGATTCTGTGATCTTAATGCTGCACAGCAAGATTGGCAATTTGCCTTTCCCCAAGCAACCTGCCTTCATCAATTGGCAGGCTGCACTTGCACAGAGTTCCCAAAATGAACATAACTCTAGCTCCAATTATCATGTCACTATCACAAACATGCAGGGTAGATAGAATTATCCTTTCATTTCATTTCCAACCATGTTATTGATGACAATCATCTTTTATCGTGATTTTATGGTGTCTTTAGGCCCTGAACAGTGTAATATATGCTACCGTGTGAAAACTGTAACTGTAAATGGTGAATTGGCTCCTTCAAATCAGGAACTACCAAGTTTTAAAAAACTATAGAGGACAAGGGCCGTGTCCTAAAGTTTCTGGGCTCTAGGCAAGGTCACTAAAGAGGCCTATGGAGATATTAATTATCAATTACTCCTTCTGTCCTTAATATAAGACATATTTAAATAATTGAATTAGATTAAAGTTAAATAAGTTAGTTAATTATAAGAAATATAACATGTTTTTTTCAAAACATCATAATCATCTTTCTTAATATCCTTCCTCCCTCTTCTACTTAATTATGGTAAGGGGAATATCAATAGAGGTGATTTAAGAAAATTGATAAATATGATAAATAAATTATATTTAAGACCAAAATTGACTCAACAATTAGATCTTATATTAAGTGCCGGAGAAGTATGATATTATTCTTCTAGTTTTTGAATTCAAAATCACTCATTCATGATTTATAATCATGAATGTAACATTTCATTTTCGATTTATAATACCATTTAATCTATGTCATATAATATAGTTGATTTTAAGTATAATTTAATCAATTTTAATTTTGAAAAACTTCTTTTAGCAATAGCAAGTATTACTTGCATCGTTAAAAGATTCTTTTTCATGACCTCTAACCACACCCCACTAATTTAATCTTTTGATATAGTTTAAGACTTCTATAGGAGTATCAATTGCTTCTGTTG